AAATAAATGACATGAGTGAGAGAAATTTTGTTACCATTTCAAATCTAAATATATCATGTTGTACATAGGATTCTCTGAACACATATGTCATTGGTTGGAGTTTTCGAGTTGTTGGAAATAGAAGCCGTTTCCATTCTGATTGGTAACTAAGGGTGACTTGAAAGTATAGGTCATTGTCATTAAGTAACTTAATTTAATATGAAAACAAAAAGGTAGGTGGATAACTGGCAAAGTTATAGGCTTTTACAAGAAGCCTGGCTAACCAAAGGACAATCTGACAGAGAGAGAAGACATGGGAGAGGACCCAAGGAAAGGATGATGAGAAGTTAGCCAAATCCTTGAAAAATAAAAGACTTTCTTTTTGTGTTTGTTTTAGTTTGGATTTTGAAAGTTATGCTTTCAACATAAATTTGTAGAAATCAGAAGAGGGGAACAAGAACATTTTTTTCTATTTAGCATAAAACATTGAATTCTAATATAGTAAAATACAATAGATTATATTTTCTCCCGTTTAAGTTGATATGAACGGCTATCAATCAGCTCAATTTAAAAGTCATTCAAATACATTATGTTTCTCAGTAATGCATATGGCCATAATGCCTCAGTCAGTGTGTCTTCCTCTGAGACGTGTTTGCTTCTGTGATGCTGGAGCTGTCCCCCGGTGTCTCGTGCCAGGAGAGGCCAGCACGGTAGGCAGCTCTCACCGGGCGTTCCGTGCGCAGACAGCACAGGAAGGAGGCTGTTGCAGTCCACTTCTAAAGGAAGAACTTGCCAGTCAGAAATTTAGGAGTAGCAGCAGAACATCGAGGATTCTAGTGCAGCCGTTCTCAACCTGTGGGTCAGGACCCCTTTGGGGGCCGAACGACCCTTTCACAGGGGTCGCCCGATTCATAACAGCCGCATAAGGACTGTGGTGAAGTAGCAACGAAAATAAATTTATGGTTGGGGAGGTCACCAGGACTTAAGGAACTGTATGAAAAGGTCTCGGCATTCGGAAGGGTGCGCACCGCTGTCCCAGTGCACACAGATGAACCGGTCAGGTTGTCAAATGTTCAAGGATGACTGAGGAAGAAGCGCCCCTCAGAGGAAGGTCAACCTTACTGTGGTGGATGGAGTCACGTGGTTAGGACCTTCCGGCACTTAGATAGCCTGGCTCAAAATGAGAAGGAATACGTGAACGGATTCCTCCGTGAGATGTACGCAGTAGGTATCTAGGAAAATGAGAAGTCGTCAAAATGAAATGCAACTCATCAAGATCTATATCCTCGGCCTCGTGGTCTGAAATGCACTCCCACAAGTGAGTGTGACTCAATCATATGATCTTCTCTCCAGGGCACGATGCGAGGTCCCCAGGGAATGCTGAAGGTGGACTTTGGGGCCAGGGTGTGGTGCCTCAACAGACTGGACTGGAAAATGAGGACCTGATGCCAGGGGCTTAAGTGGAGAGCAAATGTTTTGAGAATGATGAGGGCAATGAATGTACAAATGTGCTTTGAATAATTGATGTATGTATGGATTGTGATAAGAGTTGTATGAGCCCCTAATAAAACGATTAAAAAGAAGAAGAAAATGACCCCAAATTGCTATGACTTGATCATGCTTCTAAAAGTTTCATTTAGGTACATTTGTTTCATTTAGGTACATTTATGTTTAGAAAAATAGAAGTAAAATACATTGTTTTGTTATATGTTATATAAATATCTGACAGTTTAATATAATGGTGGGGTAGAGCAGAGAGAATTAAGATGCAGCTCCATCTCCCTCTCCCTTTTCCAAATTTTTTTATTAAAAACATAGGAGTCTTTTCCTGTCCGTTCTGGGAGTCCACCTCATCTAGAGCAGTGTTTATCCATAAATTGTCCTAGGATAGCTGTCCATTGAACAAAACCAGACAGCCTATGTCAATATGACCGAGGGCGAAGCTTTGTTTGTGAGCAATGTTGTTAATACTCAGAGCGTCACTGGCACCGGCAGCAGAATGGTCCCACATTCGATGCTTTTGCCAGATGGCCGGCGTCAGACTTGGTTTACTGAAGGCTCATGCACAACGTGATCGGACTGTGGTAACCTATGAGGTTCTCTTTTCTTCGTTTTTGTTGGAAACTACCCTGTGTGTCACAAAATAATTTAAGTCAGATTCAGTTTTAATTTTCCACCTTTTATAACCATTCAGCACCTGTGCTTAGGTTAGACTGGTAAAGAACTTGAGGGATTTTAAGGCTGTGCCCCTTCTCGTGATGTCTTTTTTCATTTCAATTTTATTAATTGTTATATTTTCCCTCTTCTTTATGTATGTACAGTACATACAAAGAAAATGATACTATATGTGGTTACAAAGCCCATTTCATCAACACAATGACTTGCCGCCCTGGAGCTGCTGCTGAGCCACAGTGCCCTCGGCGTGTCTCCAAGACGGTAACTCTGCATGAGAGCAGAAGGCCAGTCTTTCTCCCACGGAACTGCTGGCCACGGGCAAGCTCACCACAAGAGCTCCCGCTGTGTACGTGCTTCCTCCTTCCTTCGTCCTGTTCCCACCACCCTTCCTTCTTACCTTCTGCCCCACTGCCCTCCCCCCCTCCTGATTTGGGCCTCATCGTAGTCTTCAAAGTCTTTTCTTTTGAAGTGAAACTATTTTTTGCTTATAATAATGGTGTCATGAAATATGTATCTTCCTGTGACTAACATTATCGAGCGTAATGTCCTCCAGTTTCGTCCATGTCACGAGGTGTTTTACAGGTTTGTCAGTATTTATAAGGAGGCATACTAGTCTACCGTGTATATGTTCCAGCGTTTGCTCATCAATCCCTCCAAAAACCCGATTTTGAATGGTTTCCATCGTTTTGCTATTCTGGAAATGGCTGTGATAAGCATGGGCCTGCATATACATGTTCTAGTTTTATTGTTTATTTCTTTAGGTATATACTTGGCAGAGAGATTGAAGGATTGTAAGGTATTTGTATTTACACTTGTACAAGGAAAGTATTTTCCATAGTGGTTGTACAATTCTTCAATTCTATCAGCAATTTATGAACCTTCTAATTTCTCAACATCCTCTGTAGCATTTATTATTTTCTGTGGGTTTTTTTCTTAATTTTGCTAAGATTGTCTTTGTAATGTAATATCTTGTTGTTTTGTTTCTGTTGAAGAAGGTAATGAATGTTAGCACTTATAGGATTTTCACTAGTTGATTTTTGGAAGTCAATCAACAGACCTTTCTCCCTCATCTTTTCCAGTCTGGACATTTTGCTGAAATCTGAACAACATCATAACCACACACAATCCTCCATAGATGGATGGTGGTTATACTTAAGGTGTCTTAGTCAGGAATTGAACCCAGGTCATTCATATAGAAAGGAAGAAATCTATCACTGAGCTATTATTGGCTAACCAATTCTAAATAAATGAGGTCATTCTGTAAGTAGGGCAAACTATCATTTGAACTAGTTGGAGCACATTTGAATCAATCAGATGAAGATAGCTTTCCCTAGGCATTCATCTTTGGGATTTCTAATTCCAGTGGAAATATTGAGAGGTGGAACCAAGAGGCGATTTTGGCATAAATATATCAACCTGAAGAAGGTAGTGGGAATGTGACCCAGTGCTGGGACCCCAAAAAAGAAAAGATAAAAGAGGCAAAGAGTTAGTGGGAGTGAGACTTGGAAAAGCAAGGAGGGGAGAAAGAAAGGAAGTAAAGGGTATGAGACAATGCTTCAGTGATGGGAGTGTTAGGTTCAAGTAAACAACAATAAATCAGAATCTAGGCAAAGTCAAACAAATGCATCATTTGATTCATAGCAATTATAAATTATGTCCTCTTCACATTCCGTGCTATAAATCCTAACCTTTATACCTGTGGTTATAATCCTTCTGGGATAGGTGTTATCTTCCCTATGCTAATGAGGTAGGAATAGTGCAGGGTATATCTTAAGTCAATCTTTTTTGAGATATAAAAGAGGTCAAACAAGCTTATTGAGTAGTGATGGAGAAAGAGATACTTAGTTCTATAAAGCTTTCCCAGGATTAGAGGCTCAGAAGAGACAAGTGCCTTTCATTAGAGTCAACAGAGAATGAAAACATTCTCCTAGAGCCAGCCCCATGAATTTGGACTCATTGGCTCCTAAATCTTTATTAAAGCCATGTACTACACTATTTCTGTTACCAAAGCGGAGTGGGGTGTGGGGGTACTTCTCTTACAGATACCTGAAATGTGGAAGAAGTGTTGGCATTGGGCAATGAGTAGAAGTGGAACAGTTTTAAGGTAACGAATTTCTTTTTTTTTTTTTGGTCTGGAATAGACTCGGCTCTATAAAAGCAATCCTGGTGTGTGCTCGGAAGGAAGGTGAGAGAAGCGCCCTTCACATTAGAACACACACTCAGTATCAGCAACAGGACATTGCCAGGAATGTGACTGTTCAATGTGCTTTTGCTTCATCTTACCTATTTTGGAAATATTGTCAGGAGAGACCCGTCCCTAAAGAAGGCCATCATGCCTGATAAAGTATCGGGGCAGCAACACAGAGGGGGGGCCTGGAGGGAATGGCTTGCCACGGTGGCTGCAATGACGGGCTCTGGTAGGAGCAATTCTGAGGAGGGTGGAGGGCTGTGCCTATCTCGTTCTGTTGTGCAGAGGGTCTCCCTGGGTTGGAACTGACGACATGGCCCCTAGCAACAGGTCACACCCCCTAAGAAACCTTTCCATTGCATCAGGGCTGTGCCCTGCATAAGAAAGCTGCCCTCCACCTAAATCCTCTTCCAAACCTTGAGTGCTCACAGCAGATGCCATTTGGAGTCGATTACATCACGAGGTCACACCAGGAGAGGGGGTGGTTATTAGGCCCTTAATTGCCAAAGTAGAGAATCCTGGCCTCGTCACGTTGACATAAAGCCCAACACGGGCCTAACATGTTGCATCTGTTGTCCTCCAAGGAAAGGAGAAGCCCGTCCCTGCAGCAGCTTGAAGACCTGAACCGCCTGCGGAAGCTCCGACGCAAGGACGTCTTGGGTTCGATGAGGGAAGTCAGACGCCCAGGGTTCAAAGAGATGAGACTTCGGGGTCTGGCCAGAACGTCGGCCTCCCAGGTGGGTCACTTCACATCGCCCTGTCAACGCGGGGCACGCGGGTGGCAGTGTGCGTAACGTGGGGATCACCCGCATCCCTCCTCTCCGGTTCAGGGCCCGGGAGGGGCGGACTTGGGGGTGGCGGGGTGTCTGCAGATGGGGAACGTTTGGCGCGCGGGGAGGTGTGTGCGCGAAGCGGGGGTGTGGGTGTGCGTGACTGGGAGGAGTTGGCGCATGGAAGAGGGGCTAGGATTGCAATGGGAAAACCAACCGAGGTTGACGAGGTTTGGGGAGACCCGAGAAGGAGGCGGGAAGACAAAGGAATGCATGCGAGGGCGAGTCGGGGCGAGGAAAGGGTAGTACATATAAGAAAAGAGAGAGAGATGAGACTTCAACAAGTCGATTCTGGAATGTGGGGGTTTCACTAAGGTGTGTTGTGGGAAAGGCTGCCAATCAAAGCTGAAGGGGCAGGGGGCTGTTAAGGGACAGAAACGGGGCCTTTTGAGTCAGAGGGGTGAGGTTGGCACTCAGAAAGCGGAGTCCCTGGCACAGTGGGACTGGAAGGTAGAGCTCATGCCGAGTCAGGAGAGCTCTACTCAGGTGTGGTCAATACCCGGAGGCTGGAGGCTGGGCATTTGTCCTGATGAGCTCAGAGAACAGATGTCTCTTTTCAATCCTTGAGCGTTATCGTGATTTGTTTGGCTGGGGTTTGGGCTTGCTTTGTGGCTTGTTATGCTTTCCAATTTCTACCATTTGTAATGGAAGTAGCTACCTTGTATTTGATGTACCATTTACTTTGAAAGCTAATAATGTTTACTGTAGATTTCAATGGTTCACAGCCGAGGAGAAATTTTGTTCCATCATTTTACCTGTGTTTTGTTTGGATGCTTCAGAAGTTGAGATTTTGGACTTGGACTTGATCGAAAACTGTTGAAATAATGGGATTGGGGTGGATGTGCCCTGCATGGGGCTAGAAATGGGGGTGGGGGCTGTTGGTGTCAAAATGTGAAACGTTATGGATTGAATTGTGCCCCTCAAAGATATGTGTTGTAAAACCTGATTTCTATGCTATAATCCCATTTAAGAATGAGATATCTTTGTTATGTTTCTGAGACAGGATTATTGCAGGGTATCTACTGAGTCAGTCTCTTTTGAGATATAAAACAGGTTCAATAAGTAGAACAGAGCTAAGGGAAAAGATTTTCCAAGTAAAGGTTACCTGAGAGAGGGGATTTAAAAGAAACAAGGATCTTCATCCAGAGCTGACCAGAGTGAGCGAGCAATTTTATATATATATACATATACATATATATATACACATATATATGTGTGTGTGTATATATACATATATATATATATATATGTATATATATCTTAGCACTATCCATTTCTGGTGCTTTTGTAAGAACACTGGGTCATGAAGAGATCAGTGGAACATTGACTTGTCATTAAGAACTTGATGAAGGTGCTCACATGGGGCTGTTGGATAAGCGTTGGACTACTCACTGTAAGGTCTGGGGTTCAAACCCATGGATGCTCCCCAGGAGAGAGTTTAGGAGATCTACTCCCCCAAAATTTTAGTTTTGGAAAACTTACATAAGATTTCTGTGAGTTGGTATTGATTTGATGGCAGCGAGTTTATGAAAAGTGTGTCCTATCCATTCAAAGAACTTGTTCCGGGCGGTGTGGGGATGATTATATATATATATATTTATATATATATCAGTGTGGGGGTGTGAAGATAATTATATATATATATATATATAAATAACTTTCTTCCTTTCTCCTATGCCCGCTACCAAAGTTATCCTTCTTAATCTAAGAAATTGGACTGATATTTTAAGTCACAGTTCACAAATCACTTCTCAGAAGGTATCCAAGATCTGTCTTCACCAGTTAACTCCTTCTATTGTGCTCCAATAGCACTTTCACTGAGAGCTTGAGTTTGGCACTTATCACATTGTAACTTGGTTGTTTTCAACAACAATTTATTGAGCTCCCATTCTGTGCCAGGCATCATGGTAGGCACTGGGGGTAGAGATAAATTAGATACAGACCCTGCCCTCAAGGAGCTCACAGTCTAGAAAGGGAGTCAACGATGCAAACAAATATATTACAGTATTGTGATAAGTGTGGCAATAAAGCGTATTGATAAGGCACAGAGTGAGCACAGAAAAGTGGTGAGTAGACAGATCTGGGGACTGGAGGATCGGGAACGGCTTGGAGATAAGATGATGGAGTTAGGTCCCTGTGTTTTCTTCATTTCCTTGTGAGCTCATTAAGGACAGGGGTCTTACTCATCTTGGCCTTATGAACATAGTGCCTACTACATAATAGATGGCCAAGGTCTATTAGGGAGAGAAAACTCAACTTCTTTATAGTATTCAAAATAAACTTTATCTGGGCTATGTTTTGTTCTATACTTTTCTTGCCTCTGTATGTATTTACATATTGAAATGAATAATCAAGTGTCGGCTTTTTTTCTGTATTTTTTGTCATGTGTACCATGAAATGACTATTCTATATGAGACATCTTTTTTTTTTTTTTGGCTTCATTCAATGTCCTCTTAGGCTACTTACCTAAAAGAAAAGTATGTTTTTCTAATCAACTACTTTAAGAAAATGGTTAGAACTCAAGTAAACTTTTAAAATTATGTAGATTCTTTTAAAAAAATACTTCTTTCTTATTTCTGGAAACATGCATTTTTCAAATATTACATTTGATTTAAAATGCTTATGACAAAGAAAGTTAAAATAAAAAGCAATGAGTATCTTGGTGTTTGGTCAGTTTATATTTGACATATTCTGACAATAGAGGTGGTGCTGAATCCTATTTGTTAAGTGCCTTTTAGGCCAGGAAACCTGATTGTTTTTCCATTAAGTTGAATGCAAAGGGCATACTAACCAGTTTTGTTGGAAAATAAAATGAATTCAAAGACAGATTTCACAATGCTATAGTAATGACTTCATAGTTTTAAACCATTTGCCTATGACCTGCAGGGGAGGCTATTTCAAAGCAACAATTGGGAATTTGTGTAGCTCCTGACTGAACCCAAACTGATTATAATAAGAATACATTATAAACTTTCACATCCACATTTCCCTGTAGCTATGACAAATAAAGTAGAAATATTTAATTTATAGGTTATAAAAATGCACATCATCACCAAGAATAGACAACTCCTTTTACAGATAATCTACAAAAGAAGAAATCTGTTAGCTGAGTATGTATCAACCTGACTTTAGTTGTTGACATTTTCTAAGTGTATGTTCCTTGATACTATATACTACAGGGAAGAGTAAAGACGTCTGACTTCAAATATTTTGAAGAAATGTGTATTTAGCAACTGAATACATGCTAAAAGAAATGATGTACAGCAGCAGTTTCATTACATATTTTTCTCTCTCCAGTTCTAGTTCCCATCTGAAAGGCAGTGATAAATACAGATATGGAACATACCTACTTCCTGGCAAGAAACATGCTTAGTGAATGGGCATACACACCTGCCCTTAAATAACACATAATCCACCTTGCCACCTATGGGGGGGAAATCTTGCATTTTAGCATGATGTTGAACACATTAAAATGGAGTAACTATAAAGAGTTGTACTTTACACTGTTCTTACCCTTCTTTTCAACATTATTTACATCTCTTTTTCCTAAGGTGTGGGTAGCAAAAATTAAGCTATTAAGCACATACCAAAGAAAATCACTAAATAATACATACAAAGAAGCTTTAAGTGTGCTTTTCCATGCGCTTACATATTACATTTGATTGCAGCTGGGCCGTGAGTTTCCTACTGTGACATCCCTTTTCCTGTCTCGTGATTGCGGTCATACTTTGCTTAAGGTCATGCGAGTCTCCCCACACAGTTTCACTTCTGATGATACATGCATTTGCCAAAGACGGAGACAATGAATTGCATGGGACCTTGGCTATGTTCCGTGCAGACTGCCCCTCTCAATACTCTTTGGCAGAAGGTTATGACAAGTGAGTTTTCTGCTTGCAAGTTATAGCTTTCATTTTCTTCGAAAACTTAGATGGTTTACAATAGCATGCAAGTAGGTATGTTTGTGTCTGTGGTTTTAATCAAAAATCACTTTATATTAGTATTTTATATTGCTAAATAAAATGCATTCAGGTTTGGAAAGGCATCCCTTCAGCTATCAGACAATCAATAACCTTTCTAATCCTTTATTTTTGAAGACTAATAAGAAATAAATTATTTCTGTTATCGAAAATAAATTTGTTTCAGCTGCATGATCAGAATAAAATGCAACACTGCATTATAGTACAGTTAAGATACTTTATGTATTCAAGAGTGATCTATTTGGGATCACTGTTCTTTCAATTATTTTTCAAATACTTTTATTTTGTAAAGGAGTGTACCCTTCAAATAATTTAACAAGTTGGCTTTTGCTTGAGAATGTAATTCTAAAAGCAATACTATATTAGTCAATGGAGCTTAAAATTGAATGTAGAATATTTCTAGGCTTTTTAATTTGAAAGAAACACGAACAAATGGTTTATTCAAAGGAATCATTAAAACTGAAACAAGAGCTTGCATCTGTGAACTCTTCCAGCTGAAAGAAGTTTTAAAAAATTCACTGGAGGCTGAGGTGAGAAATTAATGCTGAGTTAATTAGAATCCCAAGACAGCTAGAGTTAGCACTTTAATGATGCTTCATTAATTAGCAATAAGATGTTTCTTTGCATTTTTTGGGTTCATGATGAAGGACCTTAGGAGGGATTCCTGGAAAGGAGAACAAAGTGCAAACAAAATTGTACTGTAATGCTGAAGGTCTTCTGTATCTTGAATCACGGTTTATCCGTGAGTCACCACAGAACAAAAGAGCAGACAGGCCCTTAACTAATCATCTTTCACAGCAATTTAGAAGTTGTTGCAGAGGGTGAAGAGTTTTACATCGTTTACGTGTGGGCTCTGTCTTAGACAACAGTTGACATAAAAGCCATTCCTGTTGACATGAAGAAGAATGATGTGTTCTTTAGCCAGATAACTGTCGACGGGTGTGATAAGGGGGCATTTGGGGAATGATTGATACAGATGTAAACAGAGTTGGAAATTTAGCCTTTCTGATATTTGCTTCATTATTATAGATGGTCCCTCTCCTTTAAAAATATATTGTTATACAGATGTAATTCCCAATGAAATCAGGCACGAGAGAGTTTCCAAGTCTCAAATATCATGGAGGAATTCAAGCACAGAATAGACCATTTCTGTTAACACTATATTAACACGATGCTTTTTTAGTTTCATGACATATGCAGTTAATTTTCTACCCATCGATCCACTAGAAGCAATAAAATGCATTCAACCAATCGGTTCCTGCCCCACCCCTTTTTCCTAGTTAAAGGCCTTGTTGTTATTGTTATGAAAACAGTATGCGATTTGAAATTAATTTAGATAATACTTAAGAAAGGGAAGGTGTGAATGACTTCTACTTGTTTAATCACCCTGGAAAACTAAAGAATCATTTATAAGTAGGTTTAGAAAATAGTTATTAAGGACGTGTCTGTGTTTCTAAAACAATACCAGCAATCCCTCTGAAAGAACTGAAAACAAACAAATTAAAGCAGCACACAGTGGAATTTTTCAAACAAAAACTGTATAGCACACTCTTTCTCAGACAAAACCTACTCTAGCTTAGAAAAGAACTAATTTATACTGCATATTTGTCATGGTACATTTAAATTATAGCTTTAATAAAATACATCTTCAGATCAAAGCTGAAAGAAGACATCAGTAGTAGATCAGTATATCCCATTGTTCTTCTGGCTGATGGATGGTTTATGTTTTTTATATTTCCACAGACCGTTTCATTCAGGATCATTTTACTTCTCCAGTACATATAAACAAAAGGGTTGGGAGACAAAAAATATCCTTGAATCCAACCACATTTTTGAATATACATCAGCGTAGTAAATCCATGCAGTTTGTTTTATACTTTTAGTTCAATAAAATGGCTTTGCTGATGCAGTTTTTCTTCTGTAGATGGCAACATGGCAAATGACATTTTTATTTCTCAGGCAAATAAAGCGGAACCTGTACAATGAAATCTTTTAGGAAATGATAAGTCTGCTCGAGTGCACGTCTGCATTGACCTGTAACCTCTAGTAGGTGTTGGTATTAGGAAGAAATCCTGTTAGGAAAGTTAGTCATGGACTTAATTTATAATTAGTGGAACTCAGTTGAATTTCCCACCATTGTAAACATCCACATAATGCCATGAGAACAGTTCATGTATATTGCATTTTTTTTTTCCAGTTATTGTCTAAGCAAGTTTCTATTTGTTTGAGGTTTCTAAAGGTAATGCATCTCAGACACTCCGGGGTGCCCTCTCAAATTCGTGGGTCCTCCGGTTTCTACCTTTCTTGTTTTCCTGTAAGTGCTTCCATTTGTTATTGTTCCCTTGGCTGTGCCCGGGCCTTTGCCGGCGTTGCTTCCGGTCCCTTTTCCACACTTGTTCACAGAACTCGTCCATTGTGTTCAGGTTGGGGTGGTTGATGAGCTGCATGAAGTCCCTGTACCAGACCTTCTGGCTCGGGGTCATGCTGTTGGACAGCTCTTTGGTCTTAGAACCATCTCCATCATCATCTTTCTGCAGAAGTTCTTCCAAATGCTCGGTGTCGATGACTTCCAAGGTCACCTTAAGCAGGGTTTGCATGAAGCCATGCTCCACGGCATGACAGAGGTAATGGCCTGCATTTCTCCGCTGAAGGCTGCGCAGCAGAAGACCTTGTTCAGTCCTGATGATATGATCATCGACTCTGATCTGGGGGGAAAGGCAACAGAGGGTATGTTCACGTAAATCAGAGTTGACACGATGGCGATGGGTTTAGCGTGCTGAGACCTTATGTCAGTGACCATTTAGATTCCGAATTGAATATAACTTACACATGAAAATTTTTAACAGATAATAAAATACCTAACATAAGAAAAATGACAGCATTTACCCCTTCAGGAACAAAGATGATAATCTCTGCCAATTATTTTTAAGATTCATACAAAATATGGCTTGCCTGAATTTTCTAAATAAAAGAAATAACAAAGTATGCACGATAAATAGAGGAAAGAACAAATACATTCTTTATTTTATACATCTAAAAATCCATGTGTGTCGGAGTAGAACTGTGCTGCCTAAGGTTTTCAATAGCCAATCGTCTTGTAAGAAAATCGCCTGGCCTTTGTTGTGGGGGTGGGGGTCGGCTTTGGCTACACTAGGCACACTAGTGGTGCAAGGGTTAACGGATTAAGCAGTGGTGGATTCATATTGAGTTTGCCAGGTAGTAGTGGTGACGGAAGAGGCCTGGTTGAGTAGTGGTTACAGGTTGGAGTGTAAACCAAAGGGTTAGCAGTTTGAAACCATCAGGCACTTTGCATGAGAAAAACGAGGCTTTCTACTCTAGCGAGGACTTCCAGTCTCAGAAAACCGCAGAGGTAGCTCTACCCTGACTTCCAGGGCTGCAATGAGTCAGAATCCGTCAGAATCCACTGGAGGGCAGCGAGAGCTTTTTGTTTTAGGTGGGATTGAACCACCAGTCTTCTGGCTGGCAGTTGGATATTTTAGTCTGTTGCTCCTGCGGTTTCAAACCACTGACCTTGCAGTTATCAGTCCAGAGCATTAACACTATAAGAAGGAATTCATAAATAACAGAATTAAGAATAAAAATAGAGAAGAAAGGTAAAGTGAAATACTGGTATTAGAAAATACTAACTGCTTCTAAAAATGTGTTCTTAATATGATGTATAAGAACGTTGAATAATAAAATAAGAGAGCAGCAGTTGAGCAAGGAGAAGAAAAATGATTAATAGTTATTTCAATTTTAGGTCTTGTCACACACTTGAATGATTCAATATATTCAATTTTGCTTTGTTTTGAATAAAGCTTACAGCAAACACCTCCGAATGCCCAAGTAGGCAACATATAAAAGGAACCTTAGTACTTGTAGTATCAGATTACAATGTTTAAAGGCTCTGCTTAAAATTCAAAAGGAGAAGAATTTTTACTTTCCTTTGCAGAATATTTTCACATTTATGCATACAGCACATGTTATAAGCCAACCAAATCATCTTGTTATCAGTTTTTAATTTTTTTACAGACTTTAAAGCAGCCTTTCCATTTTAGACATTCACTGAGGTTTTCTGCGTCCAATTTTCGAATTCACACCAGAGGCTGCATGAGGACGAAGATCTGCCTGATTCTGCCCCCAAGAGTCCATGTCCGAGCCTTCGATCCCTCAGCCTACTACCCTCTGTCTGAGGAGGAGTTTAATGGAGAAAGAAAGTGCATGCTCTGAGAGATGCATTAAATGGACAAAACTTCGAATTAGGAGGATTTGATTTTTTTTTTATGTGGACACATGTATCGATGCCATATTCATTTTCCCAGGAAACCACAAGAAGGAAGAAGAATTTTCTGAAGCATGTTCCAGGATAGCTCTAAACTCCTTCAAGGGCAGAAACCCTTACCAGCTCCTGTTTGTTCATTTCCTGCTAATGCACAAAGCATTTCATACAATGAGCATGGACATTGTATCAATGAACATCAATGAACACTTGTCCAATGGATGGGCTATCAATTGGTTAAGACAAAGAGGGGGTCACCATACTTTTAGCCCTGGGAAAATCAAACAAGCTGGAGTCCCTGAACAGTCAGTGAGCGAAAACAAGCCCATCTCTTTCATCCCCGTACCTCTTCCTTTCGCTCCTCGTTTCGCCTCTGGAATTGCCAGTAGACCAAGGCCCGCTGTGATTTCGGACTGCACTCCAGGAACGTGCTACTATTTTCTACTCCATAGATGATTCGTGCTTCAAGGCTGTGGTCATGGTGATTCTCTGGCCGGCGAAGAGGAAACGAAATGGGAAATGTTAGAAAAGGAATCTCAACTTTCTTTAGTATTTATTTGAAAATGTAGGAGACAAGTTGGTTGCCAAGTTGGAAGGATTTCACAAATTGATTGAGGATGGCAGAAATGTCAAGGATGTAAAGTTTTAGAGCCCAAATGCCTACCTAACTAGACTAATCATTTTGGTCTGGGTTATATAAAGCATATGCAGAGATTTGTCTACCAGAAAATAGCATTACATTAACAAAATCAGTCATGTGTGCAGCATAACTCTACATCTTTATATGCCAGAATAATACCCCATGTGAAATTATGTTCACAGCAAAACTCTGCTCTGAGTAAAAGGACCAGAAGAAAAATCATTGTCCCAAACTAGTGGCAACGAGAAACCATTTCTGAGAAATCGTTTTGCCTCTCTGTGTTTGTTTTTCATCTGGATAATGAAATTCATCAACCAATAATATTTACCTAGGGTTTCACAGAAGGTGCCGTTCAGGAAGTTGATACTCCCCACCAAGGAGCCCTAAACAAGCCACACGTTTGTTCTGAGGCTCCATTGGGTGAAATGCTGGGGATGGCTCAGAAGAAAGATGCGTGGCTCTAATGCAATGTGGTTTCAATTGTTCTATTTTAAAATGACACATCCTTTATTATTTTCTAGAATTAGGCAAAGGAATATGGCAAGAGCATGTAATAAAATACAGCAATAAGAAAACCTGTTTCCTGATTGAGTTTCTATTATTTTACCCTTTATGTAACCCCCTTCCATGTGGTCAATGAAACACAGTTAAGATCAAGAGTAAGCAACAGGGCGGCTACGTAGAACTCATGGGGGGTGAGGGGGTGGGTTGGTGGTAAAAAACTCCTTGTAATCTTGTATAATCCTGTTTCCATTATGACATCCTGTACAATCTGGAACTCGTTAAATTAATTTAGAAAATAATAAATATATTTCCACACACACAGAAAGCCGACCGTGCAGACAGATGAAATATTTTTGCTCTCCACACTAAACTTGGTCTGACTTTTAATTTAAAAAAGGCTTCCCCACCTTTTCGGCATCACTTTGACAGTTTAACCCTTGTCATAATCAACTGAGCACTTTTGTCTGCCTTCGCTGATATTATGTGCTCTCCTCATGAGATGAGAATAAAGGTTTCCAAAGCATGACTTCCATCAAATCCTTGTTACCACCCAGGCCCATTCTCTCCTTTTGCCACCCAACCCATAGCAGACCTGCTCCCTCCACTTGTTGTTGCTGGGGAAGCTAGCTTCTGTGTCTTTTTCTTCTATTGCCTTTGCTGTGAAACTGTTCTAGTATTCGGCAAGTTATCTGTCCACTGGTACTTAAAATAATCAATCCCATGAGTAGTAGAAACACTAAGAAATAACTGAAATATACAAAACCCAATAAAACTCAAACACAATAGTTAACTGATTCCACATATTCTATTTACTTAGAAAACGATCAGATTTTTCCCTCTGAAATATTTATTGCATTCATGGCATCCTTGAATTGAATGGATATGGCAAATGTTGCTGTTTGATAAGACGTTTGCTTCCCTAGAACAAGGCAAATCAAATTATGATGCCTAAAAGGGAGTGGGCAATCTCGGATTATTTAGGAGCTACTGTAACAAGTAGAATGCTTTGTCACAGTCCAGTACACTCCTATCATGAACGCATTTCCCTCTGCTAATTGTTTTGCTGTTTAAACTTTTGTGACCAAGTCCATGTGTTTAGCAAATAACATTATGTTCATTCTCTCTATAGTAATGAATCATACAATATAGAGTATTACACAAAATTCCACAGAAACTGGAAACGAATGGTGAATGATCCTCCAGGAACTTCTCCATCACCAACTGTGCTTCCAGGCCTGCTGGTATCACGTGGAAGTTCATGATAATAACCGGTGTTTTGCTGACGCTGGTTTACTCGATAGACCAGAGACGTCAATGCACCTTTTCATGTTACTACTCTACAACCTACAACTTGCTAAATCTGCCAATGCAGTCACTGTTACATAACGAAGCACAACGTGTATATTAGGCAAGGCGTTTTAACATAAATGTAGCATCACTGTCCCCCTATTACATGAAAACTGGACACTGTTTTCAGTTCAGTGAATCAGAAGAACCACTGCATCTGAATTAGGCTGTTGGTGCTGAATATCAACTACATATACCAGACTGCCCGAGCGAACGACAGACAGGTCTTTCTATGAAGAAATACAAGCCGACTTCTTTGAAGTGTGCGTGATGATGCCAAGTGACAACATTTACTTTGGGCATTGTCATGACTGGACTGGGCTGTGCTCCCTCCAAATATCTATCAATCTGTGTGTCACGATTCATGGTGCTTTGACAATTATGTGATGATGTCCTTTGTAAATCAAGCAACCATATGATCTGACAGCAGCAGCCAATCAGTTGTAAAGGGCTTAGGTGTGATGCGACACCCTTACTCGGATCACATCCTTGATATGGTGTATCAAGGGTGTGTCTTTGGGGGTAGCCTGCATCACCTTTTATCTTATATAGAGATATATCTATAAAGAGAGCGAGGCAATCGGAGAAGAGGGCCCTAACTACTCTTGCCAATGCCTAAAGACGTATTCCCCTCGGGGTGCTCCTTTCTTCCGTTCTTTGTCACGCTCTCCTCCAGGTGCTGGGAATAAAAGGAAGAGGAGGTCTGCTAGGCGGAGCTGAAGCCGAGAAACGGTCATATTACCCTCCACCTGTGGACATTTACAGCTGTGCCTTTTATTTGGTTTCTCTATTTTATTGTTTTATTAGGTGTGTTGCCATCAACACTAAAAACAAAAACCAAATTTGCATGGAAATCATTGATTAATGCAAATTCTCTGAGAGTGAACTTTCTTACATTCAGAAAACTTTATTTTAGAACCAGAAATTACCCTTCACCCAAAAAAAGCGGCCTTAGTTCAGCCCTGTATATTTGAATATTGAATTGTCACTGTCAACAGTTTTCTGTTAATTTTCCCACACCTGCCACCTTTTTACTATTTTGTAAGAATGATGAGAAGGCACTCACCAACTTCTCCCCTAATGACTTGCATATAATTATTAGGAAATATTAGACATTCAGTAGTACCAGATCAGTGCATTCTAACCTTCCTAGATTCTTCATTTTTCCCCGGGACTGTGACACCTATTGCTACTATGACGTTTCCTACAGCGAAGTTCTCAGCGTGGATACAAACTCACAAGGACTTACTTCCAACAAAACAAGCACTCAGCTGGAAAAACAGTGTTGATGACAGACGCCCTGAAGAACATGGAGCTTTGTATTCAGGGTGAAGATCATGTAACCCTCGCTCTCTCTGGGTTAAACCAGTCAGTCTGAGAACTGCTAACATCGCTATCTATTGGATTGTGTTTGGTGAAGTCCCCAGACCTGCACTGGGAGAGCCTGTAAGAAACGTCCTCTGAAGTGGCTCATTGGGTTGAGGCCACAGTGTTGTTGAGGATGGTGTTCATTGTACTGGAGTGCTTCCTTCCTGATGGCTTTCAGAATGGTTTCTTTCCCATTTTATTTTCCAGAAATTATTGAGATGCTCTTCAACAAATGAGTTTTCTTACTAGGCCTTGTCATCATCACTGGCTCATCATACCCTCACAGTAATGGGTTAGAATACCCATCAAGTACATGATGTAATGGCTGATAGGAGACTCTTCTGCCCGTTGCACACTTGTTTTGTTTTCTGAGAGTACCCCTGCTTTGTCTGGCATCATGGTTGCCTTGCCCTTGCCCTTCATTTTTAAAAATCACAGTGTGTTAAAGCTATTAAATTACTTAAGCAATTATAGACAATTTCGAATTTATAATATTGTAATAGCTTAGTTTTCTTCTCAGAATATAGCTATGAAAAGTAATCGCCCAAGGTCTGGACACAGTAATTGTCATAATTAAGTGGGGTTGTCTTATGATTGTCGATACTGCTATGATGTTTTAAGCAGTCAATCCAATCTATAAATCTTGTGCTTGAGGACCCTATATATTAAAACAATAAATAACTTCAGATAGCACCCTACCACTCCCACTACTCCACCACCATCAAATCATGTGTTTCTTCTACATTTCATCAAATGCCTTTTGCTGTATTTTTTCCTGAGCATCATTGCAGTTGTTGGTTATGCTGGCTATCTATCTTCTCCCACAATGTGCCTTTCAAGCTCCGCCCCAAACCCTCCGCTCATGTGTCCTGAATGTCAGACAGTGGTAGCTGTTTATATTGTATTTGAAGTGTTATGTAGCCTCAGTATGCGCAGGACACAGAGTTTGCATATTTCTATGAAAGAAACAGTAGGAGTTAATTAATCATAGGAGCATTAAGTGTGTAATCCTGATAATCGCATATATTTTATTAAACTATTAGAAAATGCATTGTTTCAAATTTCCTATTGTTTCAAATTTTTACTATTTTATAAGAATGATGAGAAGGCACTCACCAACTTTTTAAAGTAAAAATGTTCCAAAAGTTGATTTGAAATGTGTTCGGCTCAGGTGCTGTGAAAACTCAATCTCCAGAATTTCAAACCTAGCATGAAGTCATCAGAAGACTGTAAATCTGAGAATTCACAAGAATACATTCTCATACCTTCAAGGAAGCCTATAGCTCAAAAGGACTTCTCGGGCAGTGGCTAAACTTACAGGTATCCAGAGGGGCTGGGTGGAGGGGGGGGGGAGTGCGAGGGAATCATTCTAATGCATTAACAATAAAAACATTTTTTATTCAGACAGACGGTTTTGAATACAAACTTGTGTCATGAAAATTACCAGTAGACAAGAAAGGGAAAGTTATTAAATTGACATAATTAATTCTCATGAGTTCTATAATATGAATAACTAGAGCAAAATAATTGGGAGCAACAAAACAGTAAAATGATTTTAAAAGCACTACAGTGTGTTTGGATAACACAATGTTACAATACGTTGCAGCTGTTAATGACAAGAAATAATGTT